GAATCAAAACATTAAAAACCTGATTCATATCAATACCCTTTGTTACACATGGTTATGTAACAAGCACAAAGTGCAAGCACAGAAAGAACACAAAAGGGTTCCCTAGTGTACAAATGGAACGAGGCTGGAGCGAAACAGTCTGTGTTGCAACATTTTTTGGCAAATCGGAGAGGGATTTCTGGGTACTGGGTACAATTTGATTGGCCTAGTGCGCCGTCTTTCTCTTTCTGCCCCATGCACATCCATTTCCCAACTTGTGGCTGTTTCCTTCTAAGAAGATTGCTCAGTCAAAGTTGCTTGGAAAAGGGAGCACTCTGGGGTGCTGCGACCTCCCTGCTTAGGAAAAGCATCTAACAAATGTTCAAATTAGTACAAGACTGCTGACTGTGTTTAGCTCCCTGATCTTGTTGGCCTTTGGGGGTTGTATTGATATGTGCCGGACGTGCATTATGGGAAAACACTTGCAGGTACGACTGGCTTTTCATGTATGTGGACAAATATGGTGCACAAACAGCACAGAAATGTTTCTGCAACAGAACCTGCTGCTCTGTACCCGAGGGCCTCTCACCAGGCCTGTCTCCATCCATCCATCCCTTTTCTTCCACTTATCCAATTCAGGGTCGCCGTTTGGCCCAGCTGTCATAGGCAAAAAGCAGGTCACGCTCCGGATTCCGGTCACCAATCTGTCACCGCACACATAGAAACTGACACTCCTATGGTCAATTGATAATAACCAGTTAACCTTACTGGTGTCTGGACTGTGGGAGGAAGCCAGAGTACCCAGAGGGAACCCACGCAGGCACCGTAAAAGTGTTCAAACTACGCACAGACAGGCATCAGACTGGATTTGATCCAGGACCTTCACCACTTTGTAGTTTCCTATTGCTGTTGCAGTCATATAAGCGTGGGCTTTGATGAGAAGAGTTTGGAGGATATTTGCTTGCTTTCCATCCTTACTGTTGTAAGTTGAGTAGCTCCATAAAGGTGTCATTAACAACGTGAGAACGTGAGAACGTGTTATGATGGGGCAATAATGCACATTTCCGGAACAACAATAAAACACTGATTGATCCACAGCTTTATCTCCGCACATTACAAGGCTACTGCAGTGCAAAACAACAGAGACACGCCTCAGTTAAATCACGTATCAAATTAAACAACCCGGGATAATCTCCAGATTGAGCTGCTTTTACGTCAGAAAGAGCTGCTGTCACCTGTAGGCACGTATCGTGGCCCCGCCCCTCCCTCTTTTGAGCTGTAGTGACACAGACCCACCCCGTACACCCAGTGAACTTGGAAGTGCGATCTTGTTTTCCAAATAAACCCTGCGACTACACCATGTGCTCCCGTCATCGGCCAACGCGTTACGTAATGTTTGCTACTATTGGGCTTGTGTTTTGGGGGTAGAAGGTGAAAGGAGGTAGAAGGAGAAGGAGAGACACAAAGCATCCAGTTACAAGGCAGCCGACTCCTGGAACAACCCTTACATGGTTTTAAGACACCCAGTACATGAATACTCAAGTGGAACTCCAAACCAGGGATTATATGCAGTAGGAAAAAGGAGCAAGGGAAAGGTTTGTTGGACCATGTGCTTATAGTGCAGCAAAACCTGAGCACTTCTAGCATAATACGTAGCATCACTTAGTAAGCTGGTGTGCAGTTATTACATACTGTATTGGGAGAATACGTGGAAATAAGTTTCTCTGATTATGAGAAACCACTTGACTGAACCTGTCTAAATACCTGCCTCCATATGAGCATATCACATCTAAGGCAACACTGCTGTGGCATCTCACAATTAGCAGATGGGCTGAGAGATCACACATATTTCGTGCGTCATCAGGATCTTTGGATTTCTTTCATTATCACAACCACGACACATTGTCCCCACCCCCGTCGAAACAGCTTCTACATCAGGCGGCAAAACGTGCATGTACTCTCACAAAAGGCCAAAGGTTCAGCTGGAAATGTTCGGTTTCTGGCATCATAGGATATAAAGAAATGTTGATGACTTAGCTATTCCAAAAGCTACCAAATATCCCAAAAAAGTAAAAACTATATGGTTTGGACTGATCAAAAATATCTAATATTTGATATGATTTCTTGAGTTAAATAAAGTGTATTCAGGAATACTTCAGTACACTCAACAGATATTTGTCTTTTAAAAACCCTACATTGTTCTAGTTAAACCATAGTGCAGTTTAGCCAGCAACAACAACAACAACAACAAAAATAAGGCTGTCTGTATCCAGTGCGTAGTACAGCTCATAGTTAAGTACATTGTGGTCCCGTTCTGGTTGTATCGTGCAACATTGCACGAGACCATGCGCCACAGTGATATGCCGCAGAAGCTGAGGGCATGGCCCCGGCCCAGTCTCTGAGAGGGAGCTGGGTGCCGTGACTAAGACCGAGGTTTTCGATGAAAACCCTGTCCGTGGTCATTCATCCCTTGGTGTGAGAGTGAAGTCATTATAATTGTAGACTAGAGAGTTTTTGACGCAAACAAACACGGGGCAGTGCCGGTAACTTGCACTGCTTATTTATGTATTCACAAAAAACACAAGGCTGGCTCTGTTTTTAAGTCGAGTTAATAATTAAAGTGTGCCTTTGACGTACAGCGGCAGCGGCATAAACAGATGAGGTGATCGGGACGGTGTAAACTCGCAGATCTGGTTTGCTGCACGTTGCACT